TGCATCTGCCCCTGGTGAGACCAAAGGCATCTGCTCTGCTGAAACCCTCTGCATTTGCCCCTGGTGAGACCCTCAACATCTTCTGAACTGAGACCCTCCTTATCTGCCCTGGTGAAACCCTCCACATCTGCCCTTGGTGAGACCCTCCACATCTGCCCCTGGTGGGACCCTCCTCATCTGCCCCTGCTCAGACCCTCCTGTGCCCCTGCTGAGACCCTCCGCATCTGCCCCTGCTGAGACGATCCACATCTGCCCCTGGTGGGACCCTCCATATCTGCTGCACCCACCCCCTGAACCTGTTGAAGGTGAGCATTCACTCATGTGCTGGCATGGAAGGAGCTACCCATTAATGCAAGTGTGCGGGTGACGTCTCAAGGGGATCAGACTGTGTGTGATGGCCGATCCCGGAGATGTCATTGTTTATGTGTCATTCTAACTGCCCAGTCTGCTGTTCAGTGATTCCGGTCTGAGGTCTGTCGTGTATTGGTTCTGATCTGAGGTCGTCCATGTATTGGTCCTGGTCTGAGGTCTGCCATGTATTGGTTCTGGTCTGAAGTTTACCGTGTATTTGTTCTGGTCTGAGGTCTGCCATGTATTGGTTCTTATCTGAGGTCTGCCGAGTATTAGTGCTGGTCTGATGTCTGCTTTGTTTTGGTGCTGGCCTGAGGTCTGCCGTGTATTGGTGCTGGCCTGCGGTCTGCCGTGTATTGGTGCTGGCCTGCGGTCTGCCGTGTATTGGTGCTGGTCTGAGATCTGCCGTATATTGGTTCTGGTCTGAAGTCTGCCATGCATTAGTTCACTTTCCAAATTGCCTATATTGGTCTGGATTTTGAAAGTCTCTTACCAATTCCACGGCAATGCATCGTTTAGTGAATAGACCGCTATTTTGATAATAGTATGGAGAAATAGTTTCTGTAACACAAGAGTGTTTATGTAGGTGTGGCTTGTAAATGAGCGGAGCACAATGGGGCCACATAATCTTGTATTGTCCGGGGGCCCCATGTGTTTTCAGTCCGCCCCTGACCTTGACAGTGCTGAAGCAGCAAAATACACCACAAACGTTGAGGTGCAATGCAGGAATGAGCCTGCAGAGAAATGTACCCACATTTGACAGAAGAGGTGCAACTGTATACAAATAAAGTGTGGCACCTTGACAGTACCAAAGAACTGGACCAAAGCTGTAGAGGCAGAGGTAAATTTGGTAATGGGTAACATGCCAGTACCGGTGTGTAACGTCACCTGACGCCGCACAAACATGCGGCATCATGCGCTCGTCTCCAAGAAGGGGGCACGCATGCGCAGAACGCACTAGTGGCCAATATGGCCGCTGCACATTCTCAAATTAGTTATTTGTACCCAATTACGTTTTTCGTATTTTAACGTATGTTTTTTAACGAAATATAATAATTTGTTAATTCGGATTTGGACAAACCGCCAAATCAACTGATCTTCGTTGATTTGCAGGTTCGTCTGAATCTAAATGCACAAGTCTACTTTGTATAGACGTTATGATTTATGGGACCTTAGACCACTGCAGAGGACGGGGAGAGAGACTGAAAGGATAAGTCTAACAGCAAGCCAGTTCGGAACAGCGGGTGAGTATGAATTTCTTTTATGAACCTAGACAAAAACAATCAGTTAACCCTTGCAGTGCGGGAGTAGCCCCACTGCAAGGGTTAATACATTTTTTTTCCTGGAGTTCTTTAAATAAATTGGCTATTCTTCTGTCTGATGCACAATGCAGTGTCAGTGAGCGAGGGGAGGAAACATTTGTACTGTGCAATAGCAGGCATAAGGTAAAAGTAAAATTTCTGCACTTCCTCACACCTCATATATAAAATACAAGGTTTGTCTTATTATTGCAAAAGTCCTAACCTCAGAGATATTTTTCATGTTAGGTGCTAAGCAATATGTGTGTGTACCCTGGCAATGCCTTCCTCTTCTTTTCTCCTCAGTAAGATAGACATCATAGATGACACAAAATGCAAAATGCAATAGTCATCAGGGAAGAATCGTCTATCCATGCTATTTAGCTTGGGTGGCGGAATTGAGTCAATAAGCTGGGCTGAACAAGATATATCTTTACTAGTGATGAGCTGAACACCCCCCTGTTCGGTTCGAATTTGAACTTTCGAACATGGAAAAAGTTTGAACTCAGTGCAAGTCTATGGGGGTAGAACTTTGAAAATCAATTGACCCCATTTTGAAGGCTTATTTGCAAGTTAATGGCCATAAAAAGGGTATGGGTATTCAGGTACTGCGCTGGGGGAAATGTATCAATGAAAAAAACACTTTTAGAAAATACAATTTTTAAAGAAGCAGTGATGTTAACATCACTTAAAGTGAAATAATAAAAATGAAAAAAAAATGTAAATAAAAAAATTGACATGTAAAAAGGAAAAAAAAAAAAAGCATGTGGTTCCCCCTCCAAAAAACCCCAGACCCTTTAGATCTGGTAGGAATTTTAGGAGGGACCCCATTTAAAAAAAAAGAAAAAAAGTGTTGGGTTCCCCCTAAAGCCATACCAGGCCCTTAAGGTCTGGTAGGAATTTTAAGGCGGAACCCCACCCCCAAAATGGGGGGGGGGGAGAACCCTGCGATACCAGGCCACATGCCCTCGGCACTGGGAGGGTGCTTTTCCAGGGTTTTCCCCCCTGGAAAAGCACTTTGTCCCCGTGCCGATGGGGACAAGGGCCTCTTCCCCACAAGCCCTGGGGCGTTGGTTGCGGGGGTGCGGCAGATGGGCTTATTCACATCAGGGTACCCCTTTAATAAAAGGGGCACCCAGATGCCCCCCCCCTGTGAATGAGTAAGGGGTACTTGTACTCCTACCCATTCACTAAAGGGTTAAATAAAATTGTAAAAAAAGGGTCCAGACTTTTAATAAAATCCTTTATTTGAAAAAACTAAAACAAAAGACAAGTTTTTGACAAGTCTTTTATTTATATAAAATCTGATCTCACCAGGCTGAGTACAGATCTCACCAGAGCTACATCGAGATCTCACCAGGCTGCGTCCAGATCTCACCAGGGCTGCCTATGGGTCTCTCCAGGGCTCTCCGGGCAGGTGCTGAACTGAACAATTGGGTGTTGAGCTGACAGGGCGGGTGCCGGCTCCAGGCTGTATTTGCATTGGGGGACTGCCTCGAGCTGTGACTGAGCCGGGAAGGAGGAGGAGATGTGGGCCCCAGCAGGCACTGACAAAGAAAGCTACTGCCTGGTCCCCGGCAGGCTGCCTCAGGTCCCCACAAGCACGGGGCTGAGCCAATTAAAAAATTTTAAGGGGCGGTACCGGCCTTTAGTATCGGGCTATTTTCACGAGTACAAGTACTCGTGAAAATGCCCTGTATCGGCACTGAGTACTGGTTTTGGGACATCCCTAAAAATAAAATCCCAAGCATCACAATACAAACCCTGCTTCCTAAAAGTCATAAAAGCTAACAGATGGCACAATATATTTACTTTATACTCTTTGTTTCTTTTAAGAATGTGGGGTGAGAATTTTCCATGACACCAGTAGCTCTAGACCAGTGGTTCTCAACCTGTGGGTCGCTGTGCAAGGTGAGAGTCCTCCTCAGTTCTCTCCTAGCGCAGCAGTGTCAGTTCTCCTGCCACACCTCCAGATATCGCTGCCTGGAGCCGTGTCATCCCTAAATTTTACCTTTGGGGGTCACCACAACTTGGCAAATGTTACCAAGGGGTCCCGACCCTAGAGAGGTTGAGAGCCACTGCTCTAGATGATCTCCCTGAAACATTTTCAGATTAAATCCAGAAGGCCCAGAATGAAGCTCCTCCAAACTCCAACATAATACTGAACGTTCTTTTATTGAAGTGAGCCCAGTGTAGACAAATTATGAAACACTTCTATTTATTGCATGAATTTAAAAGATTGGTGAAGGGAAGTATCTTTAAATAAAGTTTATTTTTAATAGTTGATCTATTTTTTCACACTTACACTTTTGGTCAAGTAAACAGTGAAGGTGTTCTAAGAACCAAGCCCACCAGGACAAAGATAGCAACATAAAAAAAGTGGGGTATTAAATGCAAAAACCTTTCCTTCACTTGCTGAAGAAAGAGAGTCACAGATAAATGGTTAGTAAAATGGAAAAATTGCAGTTCAGTCGTGTTATGTCAAAGCAAACACATGGCAGTTTTAACATAAGCAGAGAAAAACATGTCTCCAAAAGTGGCAGGATAGGCTAGCAGTTTTGAAAACATAAAGCAGATAAAGAGTGTGCTGATTCTATGTAGTATATTAAGGATTTATTAGTAAAACACATTCAAATGACACTCACAGTAAAGATTGGTTGTCATTGGTGGCATCCTTGTTCACTTTCAGGACCCTCCCTGATTGTAACCTTCTCTGTAATGAGGATGACACCAGTGACAACTTCTGAAGTGGGTCTCTGATGGGTGCCCATCTCAGCACTGCTGAACTGTCCAGCTGAAAGCCCCACTGCTGACCACCGGGAGCGGGCTCCTTTAATACAGAACAGTTTTAACAAGCTACTATTGCACGCTACCCTCTTTATGACATTGTGAGTTCAGTTTTACTAAAGCCTTATTGTTCTACAAGAGGTTGGTAAATCCCTGTTACTACAGAAATATCAGCCCAAAGTGCATCTCTGACAGAATAGATTTTAAAAATAAAAAATAATTATACATATATTAATGTATATTTAAAGTTATATATACAGTATATTAAAAACATACAATTGGAATATGTTGACAATTTTCCAAAAAATAGATACAAGTTACATTTATATGCCAATTATATTAGAAATTTTGTACCCATGACCACTGCAGTCATGTGTACTGCAGTGGTTGTCATAGCCTTGTGGGTTTTTTTTATTTCCTCACAAAAGAACAATAATTACAATTTAATGTCATACATATAATGCACCACATCTAAGGTCTAGAAGGCAAACATCTGTAGCTGTGTAAATGACCAGCTGGTTCAGCAAAAAAATAAATCTTCTTAAAAAATTAGTAATTTAGTGCTCAAAACTCAGACATAAGCAGTATCCAAGCACTCAGAAGGCTGGCCACGAGTACAGTAAAAGGCAGACCTGCAGGCAGAAAGATAAACAAGGGTTTGATAAAATGACGGAGTGGTACGTCTAGGCATTTTGTGTGCAAGTATTTTTATTGCTTTGGGACTCTAAAGCATGCAAATCCCCATTCTAATTAATGAACGGAAAAAAAAAAGGAGGATGATGAAAAGAACCCATTCACATGACATATCAAAGTCAAATAAGCCCCTTAGTCTTATACCTAAAGTGTAAACTTTAATGTTTTGGATAGAGTCCTGCCAGGTTATTTTTTGAACATGTACCACTGGGGAAGTGTATCCACTGCCTGTCATAACCCAGCGCAGGTCGGTGATTGCAGTGCTGACAGAACTGCCAGTCAGTCCGTGTCCGGACTGCGGTCCACCATTTAGTGACCCCTGATCTAGTGCGATCTAGTGTGATGTAGTACCCATTATCTTTATCAAAAATAGGGAAATATCTATGATGCTGCTTGCAGTTTAGGTGCAATTTGCATCCAAATATCTCTACAGTGAGAGTAATTTCTAATAGTTTAGAGGAATTTTCTGGTTATGCATTAAGATTACATCTAATCATTGGAGAAACCCTACTACAAACCCAATTGCACTATGCCTATGGCAAAATATAAGACTATGTAGAAAAGGGATGGGGCAAAGTACTGTCTGAAAAAAGTATGCATAATTCTTTTGAAGATAATTGTTTGCAGAAAAAAATATTTCAAGTTATTCTTACCTTTATGGGAGACAGCAGAATTATCCACAGGATCTAAAGACAGAATAATAAAATGGTTACCCATATTGGTCACCTACTTCAAAGGTACTAGATTATCTTAAGGCCTAACTCTGGTCTCACAAAGCGGTCGCCACCACAGCTCACAAACAATATCCAATTTGTTCCTGAAAAAAAGGTTCTAACATGCAGTTAATATTCACCTTCCTCTACAGTACCACAGTTTTCCCCCTAAACAGTTCAGACTGTGACAACTGGTTTAGTGAGGATGGTTTTCATGTTAATCTTTGACTAGTATTATTGCTGCCCTTCTAGCAGACATCATTACGTCTGCATGGTAATCAGTGAGGCACCAGTAACCACCTCATCAGGATGGGATGTGCCACTGCCCACTGTTTTCCACTTAAAACACAAAGTATGATGTCGCCAGGGACATATTTTATATTGCTGCACTGTCTAGTTGTGCAGCAAACTTGACAGATCCCCCTTATTAATTACAAAAGGTCACCATTGGTGTGCTTCAAACTGACAGGTTGCACAATAAAGTTTATGTTTTGCCAACAATGCAAACTTTCTTAAGGTGATGTCACACATGGCAACTTTCCAGTGTCAGAGTCCCATCAGTAGAGAACATAAGCAAGCAGTCACCCCGTAGCTTTTCTCTTGTTGGTAAGCAAGATTCTGCAACATTTCAACCAATGAGGAAACAAAGCCATAGGAGCAGGCGAGCGGCTTCTTTTTTAAGCTTGTTATTGGTAAGTTGCCTCCATCATCAGAATCAGTACAGTGACATGGTCCTCATGATACCCAATTGAAAGCGCATTGTGTATAGCCTGGAGTAAACTTTGCTGTGCTTTTAAAACAGAGCCTACTGAATCTGAGCAGTTTACATGAGAAAACACCTGCCCATACTAACTGGAGACACATCAAGAGTTTTAGTGAATGTTAGTATTGACACGTTAGGTCTGGAATGTACGATAGAGACCCAATATGAAGTACAACCTAACTGGACCTGGATGGAGTCAAAGCCACCTCCTATAAAGCTCACTCTGCGCTGCTTATTTGGCTGCATAAAAATGTCATCATACTGTTACCATGATTACTAGCCAGCATTAGGGGAGTAAAAATACACCTTGTCTTGATTATTCAAAATTGCCTATAGTAAGGATCATGTAAAATACAATGCTCCACGAAGTGTTCTTTTATAATACAAACTTATCTACATGCCTTCCCAGAGAATAATGTTTTCATACCTATATTGTCATATTACCAGTGTTTACTTTAATAACACTCCTTGTTGTATGTAAAATGTACTATGAATTTAGCAAGTTTAAATCAATCTGCATAGGCAAGGACAATAAGGCTGATTTCCTAAAAGGATACAGAATGTTCTTTTGTATTCCCTGAACTCAGGATTTTATTTTTTTTTTACCATCATTCACTATGCAAAGTAAAATGGCACTCTTCAAAGTGAACATGCCCTTGTAAAGAGAACAGTCTCTATCTCTTTAGTAAATCAACCCCAAAGTGTCAATGACCCAAATAACACTCTATGAAGTTCAATGGGTGGGGTGATGCAGGCATTAGAGTAAATAACAATTACTCAGAAGACCTTTTTGGCATGTAAAAAACAAAGTCAGAAAAGTTCCAACATCAAAAGGCAAAAGTATTTAACATGCTCCAAGGGATTGTAACATGCTTCAAGGGAATCTAATATAGTTAAACATACAGCTCGGCAAGGCTGCTGACAATAAACAAGCTAGAAAAAACTAGAAAAAACAGCAAAGTTTTCCTGTAATGTGTTGAATAAAGAAATATTTACCAATAAATGTGAAAGGACCTAGAGAGAACTGTTTAGACTCTTCTAAAACATCACGAGATCCTGCACACTACAGGAAATAGAAAAACAAAAATTAAAAATGTTGCTTACATAGGAAAAGCATATTTATCAGATGCAAGTCAAATAGGTATGGAGTGATATTATTCCAAAATTAACTATGAAAAACACTTACTGATGAGCATTTTCCAGATTCTTGGCTACACAACCGAGCATCACAGAATATGTAGACAGTGTTATAATCCCTGAAGGAGAAAGAGCTTATGCTAAAGCGGACTTCTTTGGATTTACCATTCTCAAGCACTTCGGTATATGGTCCACTGTTTACAGCACAACTGGAAAAAAATAGGTTTTTGTTTATTATTGGGCAACCTAGCCTGCCTTAACTATTCACTGTGTATATGTCACTGACTGAGAAGAGAATGTGAAATGCATTGAACAGATGCAATATGTGGGGAAGGGAGATTTTTGCTTTTGATCTTGCGAGATCACATGCTCTGTTACTTCTGAATTGAAAATTAAAATATTAGGTGACAAAAATAACAGTTATACAATAACAATAACGTTGATAAAAGACCTATTAGAGATATATCATGTATTTATAATATTGTTTTTCTTTTTATTTATAGCAAGACATTTCTGAGACACTTGAACCATTGTGTATCTGTATAGCCACAAATAAACTAAGGTACAATTATCACAGAAATGTCTTAAAAACACAATTGTTTAAGGATGGTCTTTCTCTAATAGGTATTTAATTAAACTTAACTTTGATTTTTATCACCTTTATATTTTATTTTTAATTTAGTAGCTGAAAAAACTGGGCAAGATTACGTTAAAATGTGTGACCATGTGACAGGTCACACATTCTAAGGTAGTCACAGACTTTGATAGAACAGGGACTTCTCTGCCGTCCGACCAGCACTTAGGGGACCCAGCTTCGTCTGCTCCCGTCCCTCTTTCTCCTAAGCTGCTCAACTAAAGCTGCGGAGACTCGGACCCACCTCCTCCTCTTCCCCGCCTCCTCCGTGACACCACCCCCCCACAGCCACATAACATGCACAGAGGAAATAACCCGCCATAATAATTATCATAGGTTATAACCGGTTAAAAACATACACCTTAGACGTAAATATGTGAAAAACTATTTTCTGGAACCAAACTATATATACAGTTGTGTGAAAAAGAAAGTATACCCTCTTTTCATTTTTTGGTTTTACGTATCGGGACATAATAGAAATCTTCTGGTCCTTAGCAGGTCATAAAATTAGGAAAATTCTATCTCAGATGAACAACAATACATGACATATTACACCGCATCATTATTTATTTTACAGACATAAAGCCAAAAAGGAAAAGTTATGTGTGAAAAACTAAGTACACCCTTACTGCTTCCATAGGAATTACGAGGCCAGTAGTAGCCAAGTGCTGCTTATCAAATGTCATTGATTAATTGCTCATCAGCAAGTGTGAACACCTCTAAAAAAGCTGAAGTTTTAGCAGTCTGCTGGTCTGGAGCATTCTGCTGTGTGTTACCACACCGCAACGGATGCAAGACATAAGCAATAATCTTAGAAAAGTAATTGCTGTCCACCAATCTGGGAAGCGTTATAAGTAGGGTTGCCACCTGTCCAGGATTCACCCGGACAGTTCGGGTTTTGGATGCTGTGTCCGGGTTTCATGGCAGCAGAAACCCGGACACAAGATGTCAGGCAGACAGGGGCAACCAAAATTAAGATAGAGGCTACCGGCCCTTCACTGTACAGTCTCGACTGTGATATTTACCTATGAATGGGTGGCGCTATTTACATATAAATAAGCCACGACTACAAAAAAATGTCTGCTCGTCGCTAGAGTGTTCGGGTTTTGCTTGAAGAAAAGGTGGCAACCCTAGTTATAAGGCTATTTCCAAACAATTTAAAGTCCATCATTCTACAGTAAGGAAGATTATTCACAAGGGGGAAACATTCAAGACAGTAGCTAGTCTTCCCAGGAGTGGACATCCCAGCAAATTCACCCCAAGGTCAGACCGTGCAGTGCTCAGAGAAATTGCAAAAAACCCAAGAGTTACATCTCAGACTGTACAGGCCTCCGTTCGCATGTAAAATTTGAAAGTTCATGACAGTACAATGTTTGAAAGGGTAGCCAGGAGAGGAGCTCTTCACTCTAAAAAAACATGGCAGCACGGCTTAGGTTTGTAAAGTTGCATCTAAACAAATTACAAATCACAAGACTTCTGGAACAGTGTCCTTTGGACAGAAAAGACATAAGTGGAGATGTTTGGCCATAATGCACAGCTCCACATTTGGTGAAGACCAAACACAGCATATCAACACAAACATCTCATACCAACTGTCAAGCATGGTGGTGGAGGGGTGATAATTTGGGCCTGTTTTACAGCCACAGGACCTGGGCACCTTGCAGTCATTGAGTCGACTATGAACTCCTCTGTAAACCAAAAGTATTCTAGAGTCAAAAGTGAGGCCATTTGTCCAACAGCTAAAGCTTGGCTGAAATTGGATCATGCAACAGAACAATGATCCCAAGCACACCAGCGAATCTACAACAGAATGGCTGAAAAATAAAAGAATCCAGGTGTTGCAATGGCCCAGTCCAGGCCTTAACCAGTTTGAAATGCTGTGGCGTGACCTTGAGAGCTGTGCATAAACAATTGCCGGCAAACCTTAACCCTTTCGCTGCCAAGGACGTACGGCGTACGGAGCTACAAAAGTGCTTCCAGCTGGCCAGCTCAGTATGCCGTACGGACCTGGCATTTACAGTTCTACTATAAGCTGATGGTCGCTTTAGCGACTTATGTCCTCAATTGAGGACTTATGTCCTCAATTTCTTTTTCTATTTCAAAAGGGAAATGTCAGGGGTCTATTTAGACCCCAGATATTTCGCCGCAGACTAAAATTGAATTGTGTATTTTTATCGGTTTAATATTAATTTGAGAAACATTTGCGCAATTATCGCAGGGCCTACAAATTTAGTATCACCATCTTTTTATTCTACCGGGCCTGCGCTTTCAGAAAATATATGGTTTGGGGGGTCTTTTACAAACGCTAGCAACGCAGCAGTTGAAAATCAAATCAATAGGAAAAAATTGCAGAAAATTCAAAAATGGCTTGGCCAGCTGATTTGAAAAATTTTCCGGAGGGCTTGGCAGCGAAAGGGTTAATGAACTAAAGCAATGTTGTAAAGAAGAGTGGGCCAAAATTCCTCCATAACGCGCGAGAGACTGATAAAGTAATGGCAAAAACCAATTACTTCAAGTTATTGCTGCTACAGGTGGTTCTACAAGCTATTGAATCATAAGGTGTAAGGTGTAATGGCAAAAACCAATTACTTCAAGTTATTGCTGCTACAGGTGGTTCTACAAGCATTTGGTTCTGACGAAGGAGGCGTGGTCTCGGAAACGTTAACCTCAGGGAGGAATAGTAGCCGGTGGGCTAAGCTTTTCACGATTTTATCTATTTATGCCTGTAAAAATTCTACTTTTGTGAGTATGGTTTCACTTGTTTAAAACCCATTTCATTAAAACGTTTTTACGCGATGGAGGCGCTCTTTGTCTTTTGTTTCTTTCAGAGTTGAGGCTCCCCTATAGCCTATCTGAGAGCTTGCGCCATCTGCGGTTTTGCTTGAGATCATTGCAGACATTCTCCGGTTTTGGATACAAGCCGTTGGCGCTTTTGTTATATACTGGTTCTACAAGCTATTGAATCATAAGGTGTACTTAACGCATTGTAATATGTGATATGTTGTTGTTCATATGAGGTTGTATTCACCTGATTCTAAGACCTACTAAGAAACCGATGATTTCGTTATTATGTTTTGATACTGTATGTAAAACCATATTCAGATTCAGATGTACTTTCTGACTTTTAAGCGGCTTACCCTCCTTGAATCAGCTGTATTTTAATGGAGCCAGAACCATCACTGGTTGGGGTAGCAAAGCATTGGTCAATCCGCAAAACAAAAGCAGGGTCAGGGAACTGAGTGCTCATTCCAAAATAAAGAGTTGATCCTATCTGCAGGTCTTGTTGTTCTGATTGCAGCATAGGATTAGTGTACGATGGGTTGGAATAAGCTGCAAGTGATGTGAGGCCATCACCATTAGTTCCTCCAGCATCCAGGTTCTGTGTGCTGTAAGAAGAAGAGACTGTTTAAAAGCTTGTCCTTGTTATCAGTCACAGTAACAGCAAAAACCAAAGCTGTACGGTTTGTAATGTGACATTAGTACTGAATGAAATCAAGCCTTTTTGTTTTTTTGTGAATATGTAAATTAGATTACCTTAACCAGAATGTATAGTGTTTAATTACATATGCCTGTGGAACCTGGCATTTTTGCACATTACCTTTGCATGTTTAGTTGCAAACACAACAATTGTATTCTTATTTAGCAGATGAGGAACGATCATCAAATTTAAGGGTATGGTTAGGCAGCCATCATTGCCAGATGATAGTTTGCAGGAGTACTGGCTGCCAACCACACAGGATTTTTAGCTCCCTGCTTTCCATCTCCCTTCTACATAGGCATACACCATTATACATGGTGCACCATTAGGTAACTCAAGAATGTGCATTTCAACTTTTGCAGCCAAACCTACTTTATAATTGTTACATGTTCCCAATTCTCAATTTTGACTGCAAAAGTGGAAATACACTTTAAAAAAAAAAACCTTTCCGGCCTTGTCATACCAGTTTAGCTGAGCTGTGTTTATCTGCACAGATTAAGGCAGGCTTCACACAAGGGCACACAGAAAAAAAATGTTTCCTTTGTGCCCTGTTCAATCTACGCCGCTGCCTGCCTTGAGGCGGGTTGCAGTGGGTTGTGTAAAAATGCAGATATGCTGCATGTTTTTCCTCAGTGCACCACAGCACACCTGAAGTCATGAAGTCACCGCACTACAGTTCAGGATGTTGTCATATTTCAATAAAGTTTAAAAAAAAGGAAAAAAGATAAAAAGTGTCTTGAATTCTCATTCAAGGCATTGTCCCTACATCGGTTGTACTCAACGGATATCAACCAGACCAACTAGCTCATTTTACTGTGTAGGCTGTTTGAACAAGTCTTCAGTGCTTGGATTGTGCCCACATGTCCAATTGTCATCTAATGTATATATCACTCCCCAATTTTTAAAGCGTGTATTCAGCTAAAACTCCTTTTTGGTATAATATTTGTCAGTAGAAAAGGAAGTGATGTGAAAACTCTCTAACAGAGCCCCAAATAACAGTAAAAATGAGACAGGCGTTCGAATCATTCCCCATTGTATCTAAAACAAAAAAGTTTTGGCTTGACATACACTTTAAATCTACGGGCAAATCTGTCAGTATCATTGCACTGAAAGTGTGTGTGATTAAGCAAAACGTTTTCAGTTCAATCTACATAAAGGGGGATTGATTTATTTAAAAAATAGAGTACATTCAATTTGCGCAATTAATGTTTACTAAGCTTAGCAAAACTGTGTTCATTTCAAACATTTCCTTCACAGAGGATTGAATATTCAAAGTGAATGCAGCGTCACCTTATTTACTAACCACACATACACTTTACAGAGTCACTACTCAACTACTCAAGTGAACAGTCTTTTCTTTAGAAAATCAACCCCGTGCTTATTATACCATTTAATTTTTTTTCCTGAGGCTGTTTTTAGGCAATGATGCTGATTGCCTCTCTGACATGAAATTATTTTTTAACATAGGTACCAAAGTTACATGAAAACATGACACAACAGTTATGAGGAGATGTCAAAATCACTTTACAAATGACTTCTTATATTTAGGAATAATAATACATACTGAAAAATACTTTCATTGTGGCGCAATATAAACAGTTACATGAATGTGTAAACTATTATACAGCTGTGTAAATTGAAAGCCTTTTTGGAGGTATATGGTACAAGCAGTAAGAGGAACAAAGACAATGTACTTACTCTAAAACTGGTTTAAATACTGTAAATAAAGATATCCACATTGAAATATTGTATGTGCAAGTGAATGCAACACTGAGCTCGCTGACTGTAACAAGTCCATTATCAGTGTTTCCGGGGACGATAATAGCATTCGTGTAAGACACATGAGTTGCGTTTTTCTATAAATGAAAAGGGGATAAATGTTACCTTTTTTATCAAAAAAAAAACAACTATCCTACATCCTGTTACATATTTTTCATTAATTTGAAATGTGAATATTAAACAGTACATTAGCAAAAGAAGAGTCCCTAGCAAATTTCACGGTGTGTATTATATAAACAGCAAAATACAACATTTGTAATTAACGTAATTATGTGAATGGGTTACTCACTGTAAGAATATAATAATGGAATTCATGATCTAGAATATGATCTAAAATCTTGAAGATAAGGGCCCATATTTTTATAGTACTTCACGCTCAAAAAAGAACTCCCGTCAAATATTTTATTGATCTTTGCAGTGCCGCTACCTCCACACTACAACGTATTAAAACTGGTTTTAGTCTAGGGAGGAAAATAACAGTTATACTCACCCGATCCTCTGATCTGGCTACGGTGCTCCCTCCAGCCTCTCTCCTCTGCTCCACCCATGGTTTGTCCCTCGGTGTCCTCATGTCCTATACACTGTGTATAGAATGTGATGACTCGGGCATCTTAGACCACTGCAGCGGAGGGAGAGCAGGGCTGGAAGGACCTGCTTAAGAGCAAGCCACTCAGAGGATCGGGTGAGTATAACTTTTTTATTTTCCTCCTAGACCAAAACAAGCAGTTAACCCTTGCAGTGTGGGGGTAGCCCCAGGGGCGTCCCGAGGCTGGGTGACACCCGGAGCGGTAACCGAGTTTCACCCCGCCGAGATTTCACTACGCATGCGCGGTGACGTCATCGCGCACGCGCGCCAGTATTCAGATGCCTGCCGGCGGCCATAGCCCCACTGTGCAAGGGTTAACAATTTTTTTTTTTTTAATATTAAAAATACTAAAAAACTATAAAAAATATTAAATATTTTGTCCAGAGTTCTTATCTAACACAAAACAATTATTTGTTGAATATTGACTTTGTAATTTGCCAATATTGCAACTCAACAAAATTATTTAGAAGATATTGTGCAAATTGTCATAACAGAAGTAAATCCTTTCTGATTCTAAGCATCGTTAGAAAACTTTTAAGCCTTTCCGTCTACTTTTAGGAATTGTGTCAATGGGCTCCCCTATTGGCTAACACTAAGGTTAAATCCATCTGAAAATACAATGGAGCAAAGCTCTCAAACATATAAGCAATAATATTCACAAACATATTAACAATCATGATTGTTAGTTTGCTTGAGAGCTTTGCTCCATGGGATTATCAAAAGGATTTAACCTTAATGTTAGACAATGGGAGAGCAATCTCAGATTGGAATATCCTACAGAATTGTATTTTACAAATAGAGTCTATATGCTTTTGGTTATATTTGGTTACATTTGACCATATACATCGATCCATATATCCAAGTGCAGGACTATATTTGGGTCAACTGTTACAGATGGAACATGTATAATACCAATTAATTGAGGATGTTGCATAGTGTAGTATTATCAGAGAAATGGGACTGGACTTTTTAACTGTTAGCTTGAATTGGATACAATTGACTTATATGTGTACATATGTATGTATCCTGATAGGAGGGTATCCCCAATGATGTTAAAAAAGACGTCTTGGATATATATGAATTCAAGGGACAAATAGTAAGGTACTGTATCCATAGTGAAATGTAAATACACACATGGGGTATAATATGGTAGTTATTTGTGGTGTGTAGAATTCTGCATAAGTGTTTGTCTTTGGCTTGACAGGATTGGTGGAATACAAGCATATAGTTGCTATAACCTCTCCTCTTGAATCATCTCCGACCAAAAGATATAGTGGGCCAAGTGTAGGAGGGGTGACCTTCCTTCTACCGGGTCACACCGCCCTCTCTTCCCTTTTATGTGTTGTGGTTATGCTGGAAAGTGAGTACAGCTTTCCCATACACTATTATGTAAAAAATCAGGTTGCTGTAATAAAAAGATGAAATATTATATCTTTGTATGCGACATATGTTTGTATTTAAGGTTTCGCCTACATTCTCCTGATGAAGCCAATGCGAAACGCATTGGTACAATCAAACTACACGCCTTTGAAGAAATTATACAATTAACTATGACTGTATGGTTATGCTAATGAAAAAGATGATGTGATAATGTATCGGCGGTATTGTTAACAGACAAATGTGTCACCATTTTTTAAGGACAATATAGACCTACATACCTCATATAAACCCCATGATACATATACTTTTTTTATATAAAGATAAACAATGACTAAACATATTACTATTGTGTATAACTCCGTATTTACAACACTTACCACCATACTACTGCCACAGATACCGCCACCGGTCTGCACAGTCAGTGAATACATACGCTGCCCTTGCAGAATACTTTCATTGGCTCCAGAACAGTTGGACTGCAACAAAGTGGATGCAGATGGCTTGTAGTGCAGGATCTCCAGCAAATTCTTACTGACAGAAATTGTCATGTTTGAACCTTTACACGCCACAGAAGAGGTTGTATTTTGTACATCTGTGAAAAACGAATGCACCAGAGAAATGTAAGACAGCCAAATACACTGTATCTCATTGTATAACAATTCCACATATTAAGACATGTAGTAGGTATTGCAACACTGCAGAATGAAAGTGAGGGAAGAAGAATGGAAAAGTAACTTACTCAGACCCAGAGCCTTATAGTAAGTTGCGTTAGCGACACAAACTGCTGTCTGATTGACATATTGACAGACTTCATCTGCAAGGCATGCTGAAATACAGTATGGATCCGCTGTTATGTGAAAGAAGAAAAAACAAGGTGAGTATTCCTGATTCGCATATTATTACTCAGGAAGCTTTTTGTCCGAAAACATATGTACAATATTTCTTTAACTAAACTTCATACAAATATGAAACACAATTTAATTCTGTTACGTTTTTAAAAATAAAACCATTTTTACATACATCTATCATGTACCTGACTCTCTTGTGACTTTAGCCTTTTGTATCGCCCTGAACAAGAGAACTCAAAACTGTTAAGAGGGGTAAAGGGGTGCAGGAGGGCTGTACAGGGAGCCATCCAGGCTTGTTGTCTCTGCTTAGTGCTTTCCATCTAACAGTGGAAGCCTTCTGACAGGACAACAGAGCAGGGTCATGATCTCATTAGTGTGCTGCAGTCTTCTTTATTGTCCAGGTACAGAAAAGGATGGGTTCTCAACTGTTTGAGGAGGATGGGTTCTCAACTGTTTGAGGACCACTATGCTTTTGATTGAAGCCCAACCTCCCTATTATGCTTGCATGTAGGCTGCATACAAAGGGTTTCCTTTTCCTATACCCACCTAACAATCCCACCAAGCTTGTCCAGCTGTAGATTTTCATTGTTAGCTGGGGCAGGAGGAACATATTAGCGCCGTCCCGCAGAGCCAGAAAAACACTCTCTGTTGCCAAAAAGACTTTCTAATTAGGGACAACAGTTTCCAGATACCCTAGGGATGGCTACATCTGAAGTCTGCAGCCAAACTGATCCTGGAAAGGGTGTTTTGTAAGTTTGTTATATGCTTTACTTGCAGGTAGGTTTTAAGGGTAGCATGGGGTGGAATGTTAAATAAGCAGACTTCTAATCCCTGGAATTATTCATTAAAATAAAGTTCCCCTTTGTGGTAAGTTTTATTATGAAGGAAACAAAAAATGGTGCATATCCCCAATCTGGCCACAAACTGTAACTGCTAAGCACATTCCTCAAACCAGCTCACAATCTCACATACTGTAAATATCAATCAAATTGGGGGTTCGGGGGGGCAATAGAGAAGATTCTAGAGTATGGTATTGAAGAAGAAAAAAACCCCATTTTATTCATTCTCACTGAAGGGAAGCCCCCAATTTTGCCAAATAGCTTGTGCTCCATATTGTCCCGAGCAATGGCCCACAACAGTTAGTCTGAAAAAGGTATTACTTTTTAAGCTTAACACAAACTGTATCTTCTCAGTTTTTCAATAAATGTCAGCAGCTCTGTGGTCCCCTACAGTAACTTCTGCAAAACGTATTTGATTTCATACTAAGAAGGGTTAGGTATCACACAGACACATCAGCCAAGCTGTATTGTTTCTAACTGTAATAGGTGTTTTTTGGTTAGTAGTTTGGGATACAGGCATCACCAGATGAAAATAATGAGGGAAAATAAATATTTAAAAGAATAAACTAAGATTGATAGTTTCCATAGACCATTATTGAGACATAAATAATCAATTTTTAAGGATGAGGGCAGTTGGTGTTGCACAGGGCCATGATGCTTTTATTTCCCCCTAATGAAAAATAACTGTCACCAAATGCGTCAAATAGCTTTGAATGAAAGGTTACATCCCCAGGCTCTGTCCACCATTATAATATGAAAAAAAAAACTATTTAAAAATCATATAAAACTAACTAGTTGTTTAGCCATGCATGCACAATATATTTTCTTGTGTCCTCCATTCACCTGTGCAGCAGGCCAAGTCTGGATTCCAGGAAAGGTTTGGGAGACAACAAGAAGAGGAATTTAGGGAGCAAAATCTTGCATCAGGTAGACATGATGTGGAATTTGAGCATGTGCACCCAGAACTTTGCAAACATGTCCCATTGCATGTGGAACAGAGAGGAGGACTCCCATTTACTCCAGCTGAAAGAAAGAAAACAGTATTAACACAACGCTAACACATTTCAGCAAAATGTTGACGATATACAGTATATATCTTGCATGTTTTATAACTTATAAATAGACATTTTACAATAGCATGATAATTATCTGGGAGGGAAGTTAGAACATGGTATACCTAAATGCCCCTTTCCTCTGTGATACTCTTTAACGCTGCATCAGTAAATCAGAGGGGTTCAGCCCTCTGGTGATACTCTTTGGAGTTGCACACACGGACTGCTTTCTGAATAGGTAGGTGATACTATCGTTAGGGATGCCCCGATACCAAGTACCGTACTCGGTACAAGTACATGTACAGATACTTTTCCAGCTCCAAGACTGGACTAGAGAAAAATTCAAAAGTTAGGGGGCAGCTGTTATTTTAAGGGGGCATACGGAGCACCTGGGATTTGTGCATCCCTGTTTTAAACGTTTTAATTTTTTTGTATAAATGTATATTAGCGATGCACCGATACCATTTTTGCAAGTACAAGTAATGATACTTATCCAAGCACTTACAGATACAAGTACTGATACATTTTTGTTTATTGTCATGAGTTTTTCTAAAAGAATACAGACTAATGATTTCAGGACAGTGGAGGAGCACCAGAGCCCAGACCCAGCTGCAACTTCTGCAACCCTGGTAGTTCATGTGAAGATGCCAAGTATTGGCACTGGTATCTGAACTGGTATCTGGACATCCCTAACTATCGTATATATCAGAATGTAATTTATATGGATATCATCCCTTCTGGGTATATTCATTTGTTTTGTGGTTATTTAGATTTTCTCCTTCTCCTGAGGAAGTACTTGGAACGCGAAATGCATTGAGATTACAAACTATTCCTTCATTCTTTAAAGAAGAAGCTGCTCTATGATATAGGATTCAAAGAACACTCTATATGGTTTATGTATTTATTTATGTATTTATTTATTTATTTATTTATTTATTATTTAAGCCTCATTAATGGTATTTTGGAGTAGTCTGCTGGAGGTATCAGTTCATTTGCGTATTACGATGAAGAAAGCATATACACACTAATCAAGTTTTTATGGTTTTTAATAGTATTTAGTATAATAAAGATTTTTTTTAAACTAATGATATTGTAATCTTTTGGACCTGTCACCTGGCACCTACAAAACACCATATACACACATTTGTTCTATATATAAGACCTGCTCTGATTAGATAAGAGGTGGGGATGTCATGATCCCCCCTCATCCAATCAGGCAACACCTTTTTTCATTATTAAATATACTAGGTGTTCTCTGAATGGCTGCTGTACTGAGCAACAGTGTGTTGTGCTCTTTACTTTTGTTTTTACTTTAAGGAACAACTCCAGTTTAAAATATTAACTCTTGCAGTGGCAGAGCAAGAATACAGAAAATAAATTCACCTGATCCTCAGTCCTGTGGAAGTGACCGCTCACCTCTCTCCCCCTCTGCTCCAGCTGCGGTATGTAAATCTGCATCCTTGTTTTTAATGGACTTGCATTAGAGGTGATGAGGTCAGAGCCCAGAGGGGTGGCTGAGGGGACAATTCTAACAGCCATGCGGGGTCAAGGGTCAGGTGAGTAAAATTTATTATTTGAGCCCCTAGACTAAAATGAGCAGTTAAACCTTGCAGTGCGGGAGTAGCCCAACTTTAAGCATTAATAGTTTAGATTCCTTGAGTTTCTCTAACTTTATTTGGAGTGTACAAAGTTCACACTCTATTTAGGTCTCAGCACAGAAGCGGAGTTTGCTGCGGTGTGACAGTGCACTGTGAAACAATGCAGTACGCCTGCATTTTTCCACAGCACAACGCCATCAGATCCTCATTGTGGTCTGCGGTGACTAGCCGTGACCGGCATTGTTCAGTTGTTGAAAAACATTGGCCACCGTTTATGATGTGAATGAGCCCTTTCTGAAATCCCTGTCAGGTTTTCATTAATGTTTGTGTTTCTGGTTTGAAGTTTCTCATTAATTTCCTGTCTTGTGACAGGGGCTTCATGTGTGGAGGATTCATCCAGAACGCACATATAGAAATAAAAAATTCTGACAGCCCATCCCATCCCCACTCTATCATTAAATTTTTTTTATCTGCACCTGCCCTTAATAAAATATGCCAGGAGAATTGTTGTTACAGAAATATTTGTTTAGTACAGTAGGTCACTGCTTTCATACTTACTATAGCATGACGGGGTAGAACCTGTTATTAAAGAAGAAGGAGACAACAACAAAAACTGTCAAACTATGTACATAATATTCACGTGGAAATAGTATTTTTAAAAATGCTCTAAAATAGACAGTTCATATATTTTCAGCAACCATTGCTAACCTTTCATTATGTACGTACACCTGTCATACAAGAAAACCTGTTTAGTGAGAAACATTAGACAGAGCGTACTGGGTTTTTACCTAAATGGCATAGTTGTTAACATAAACGTTTATGTCAGCAGAAGTTTTTTAAAGGAAAATGTCATCAACTTAAGTCAACATTCTATACTATGTCATAATGAGTTAACGTTCTTTCACCTTAAGGAACAATGTACTACTGCTAATATGTGACTGGAAAAATGTTTATCTCGTCAGGATTTTATCTGTCTATTGTCCAACTTTCTTCTTTATTATACTACATGCAGTATACAGTATAATAATCTTGTAATTTTTATGTAAAATTATCAAGGAACCGAGTGGGGGAGATAAGACAATTTGTACATCACATTTAAAAACTTGATTTTAAGCTGTAATTACAGGAAAGTTTGATGAAATGTTGAAATATATGTGGAGGAGAGACTCTATACAACCAATATAAAGGGGGGTAAGATTTTTGCAGAGGTTATGAGTGCATTTAATTTTGTATTTCTGGCTCTAGGTGGGGGAGTAGATGGGTTTGAATATTCACCATTGAGAGACATGTGGGTGAAGGTTGCAGAGTATATTCGTATATATTTCTGGATGCTCTCAATATTTTGTTTTATTTCTATCTAAAAAAATTGATTAACATTAACATCAGGCATACTGCCATTTGTTGGTAGTTTTTGAGGTAAAAAAAAAAACTTTTTGAAAATGTACACATCACTTAAGTCATTTGAATGTTTGCTGAACCAATTATAACACATTGATTATTTATATTCTATTTTTGAGCCTTGAGAGAATGGGCTACCACTGCCGTAAAATACTGCATAATAGAAGGATAATTAGTGAACAGTATGGAGGTTTTTGTAGTTACCTATCTGGCCTCCCATGTGACTGTTTCCCTTTAGGTATTGCAGTTTTCACATATACTTGTTACCTGGTGACATTAGTAAGACACTGTGATTTTTTCTATGCTATTTATTCAGAACAAGCCTTGGTATGTGACCTACTAAGCATTTGGTTGCTCCCTCTGTATGTCCCTGTGTTGGCCCTCCAAGATGCTCATATGATGGTATGGAAAATTGACATCATAAACATGGGAAGTATGAATGCTATTTAGATATTTAGATTGATGTATGCAATATATA